TATATGTATGTCTATTCTTGCACATGCTTAAGGTTTATTAGAGTTCTGAATAAATAAATTTCCAATTTTAGCTTAGCTTATATCGTCCGTTATACATTAAACGCGCATGCGTAAATGTATTATGCGCATGCGTAAAGGTATTATGCACATGCGTAAACGTTGCGCATGCGCAGAAAGTTTGTAGCTTTGAGGTCTGGATTAAAGACTTTGTACTGTATAAAATATTATGCTTTATATTTTTATTGCATTTTAAGGGGGGGGGAAGAAAACTTGGGATCTGCTTTCTATAGAAGCCTTCTAAAGAAGTGGCTATAGTAAAGTATTAGACTACAGTGAGAGTACCACGGTAAACAGCATCTGTAAACATTAATGCAACTAAATCTGGAGGTGGGTGGGATAAAAATTGTCACTTTTATAGAACCTCATATTTGTTCTCAGCTTACTGATGAATCCTCGGATTTAGAAGACTTTTTTTTTTTTTGCCCCTTAGATTCCCTTTGGCAACTAATAATTTTATCAACAAGGGATCATGATCAGCAAGTTTTGGTCTCTTCTCTGCTTTCATATATACACATCTCCGTTTTAAATTTTTTTCCATACTCTCACACTTTTAGCATTCCCTCTATTTTCATTAGTGACACTGTAACCAGATTACCTGTTTTTTCACTAGCATGCTGGAAAAAGAACAACCTTCATTTCTATCATACCTTGAAACAGTACATTATATGGACCATTAAAGCACATTTTAAAGATATATTAGCAAACATAACATGAATAATTTTCAGAAGGCCTTAAAAAAATAATTAATATTCTTTAAGGCCTTCTGAAATTTTTGCAAAAACTGTTCAACTAGTATATATATTATTACTTTAGAAAAAGTATTTAACCCTTTTCCAAAAAAGTATTTGAATTAGTTATTTGGAAATTTTATCATGAAGGCGAGAAAGGTATTAATTTTATAATGCTATTGGAAATACCATACACTTGGCCCTTGGATCCAACTGAATTTCTGCCCACAACAGCACTTTAACTACTTAGCAGAGCCATATGCATAATGTTATTACATTTTTTCTCCATGAATTAAACAAAAATTTTTACGACCTAATGCCTAAACGAACAAATAGGCAAATTGGTTGATCTTTACATTATGGTAACTTGGCGATTTTTTGGCGAAAATTTGGCGACCAACTCTGCTACAGCAACCCTCTATTTTTTTTTCCGCCGCCATTTCGTCTTCACAAAGTAAAGACATGTTTCTTTTCTTTTTATTTACTGAACACTTTTTCCAACAATCTACTAGCCAAATTACACTTATACTAGAAATTTTATCTACCAAAACTGCTTAATCATGACAAATATTCACTGCAAAATTGGAAAAAAGTGCACAATCGCAAACTCCTTGCGCGTTTTCAGAATAACACATACACATAAACCATGTACACGTCGACTTATTTTTACTTAAAAAAACATCCCAGAATAGCACAAAAATGGCATTGCGCACACTCTTAACTATATCCATGTACACTGCTTTTTTCTCATAAATTAGAAAAATTTCACGAAAATGCATAACAATTTTCTGAATCTTTAAACCCAGTAAAAAGAACATATATGAAATTACCTTATCGCAAAAAAGCATATACCCTTTCCAAATATGTACATTTCCACGTATAAAATAAATAAAATATCTAAAAACTTTTACCTCTAAATTATCTATTATAGGCTGATCTTTGGAATATGGTAACTGGTACTTTGGCGACATTTTCGAGGCGATAAAGGTTACTACCTAGGACTTTGGTAATAATGTGAGCAGTACTCAGTTCCGATTACGCATTATTTTGTGTGAGGGAAATGAGAGATCATGAGATATGTCATGTGATATTAATGGATGAATTACAGTTCTTTAATCGGAAAAGGGGGGATTTGGAAAAATATCTGTGGCAGTATATTATTTTGTATTAAGCTTCATTGTGTGTTGTGTGAAGTAGTGTTGAATAATTTTCGGATTGTATGGCGCTGTCTAATATTATTTTAAAGATCCGGAAACAGGTGCACATACCAATACAATAGAGGCCACGTGGAGTGCTATAAAAAGCGCCATTCCGAGGCATTGTGATAAAGAGGATTTTGCTTTTTATTTAGCGGAGGAAGTGTGGAGGTAAAATTTGCAGAAAAAAATCATTCAATAATTTTATTGAATCAATAATAAAAGTGTATCCACCATGTAAGCAAGAATCTGAAGAAGATTAGGTAAGTTAGTATTTTTAATTATTTGAGAATATTATTTTTATGCATTGTTCTAAATGTAAGGTGGAAGTAAAGTAATTTGGTATTATTGGAAAATTGTTATTAACAATGATTTAGTTTAAAGTAATTAGGATTGTAAGTTAATTTTTATTAATTTAATGTATGTGCTTATTTATATTTTAAGTAGTGTTTTTGAATTTAATTATATTTTAATTAAATGATAGTTATTTTGTGAATTATATGCTTGTAGAATTTGGTATACGTTATAGTGGAAGTAAACGTGCATGGAAATAATTTAAATATTTGACACTAAGTATTTGTAACCATTTGAAATGTTTGCGGTATGAATTAGTTGGTGACAATTGCAATATAATAGATAATGTAGAGGTAAAAGTTTTTGGATATTTTATTCATTTTATACATGGAAATGTTCATATTTGGAAAGGGTATATACTTTTTCGCGATCAGGTAATTTCATAGATGTGCTTTTTACCGAGTTTAAAGATTCACAGAATTTTTTTGCATTTTAGTGGAAATTTTTGTAATTTATGACAAAAAAGCAGTGTACATGGATATAGTGAAGATTGTGCGCAATGCCATTTTTGTGCAATTCTGGGATTTTTTTTAAGTAAAAATAAGTCGACGTGTACATGGTTTAGTGATATTTTAATTAAATGATAGTTATTTTGTGAGTTTTATGTTTGTAGGAATTTGGTATACGTTTAAGTTGAAGTAAACGTGCATGGGAATAATTTAAATATTTGACACTAAGTATTTGTAATGTTTGCGGTATGAATTCGTTGGTGACGTTTATAATATAATAGATAATTTAGAGGTAAACGTTTTTGGATATTTTATTTATTTTATACATGGAAATGTTCATATTTGGAAAGGGTATATACTTTTTCGCGATGAGGTAATTTCATATATGTTCTTTTTACCTTGTTTAAGGATTCAGTAAATTGTCATGTATTTTCGTGAAATTTTTCTAATTTATGAGAAAAAAACAGTGTACATGGATATAGTGAAGAGTGTGCACAATGACATTTTTGTGCAATTCTGGGATGTTTTTTTAAGTAAAAATAAGTCGACGTGTACATGGTTTATGTGTATGTGTTATTCTGAAAAACGCGCAAGGAGTTTGCTATTGTGCACTTTTTCCCAATTTTGCAGTGAATATTTGTCATGATTAAGCAGTTTTGTTAGATAAAATTTCTAGCATAAGTGTAATTCGGCTAGTAGATTGTTGGAAAAAGTGTTGAGTAAATAATAAAAAAAAAGAAACATGTCTTTTCTTCGTGAAGACAAAATGGCGGCAGAAAAAAAAAATATATATAGGGTTTCTGTAGCAGAGTTATTTGCCGAATATTTGCCAAAAAATCGCCAAGTTACCATAATCCAAAGATCAACCCTACTATATTATAAATGTCACCAACGAATTCATACCGCAAACATTACAAATACTTAGTGTCAAATATTTAAATTATTTCCATGCATGTTTACTTCGTATACCAAATTCCTACAAACATAAAATTCACAAAATAACTATCATTTAATTAAAATATCACTAAACCATGTACCGTCGACTTATTTTTACTTAAAAAAACATCCCAGAATTGCACAAAAATGGCATTGCGCACACCCTTCACTATATCCATGTACACTGCTTTTTTCTCATAAATTAGAAAAATTTCATGAAAATTGCTGAAAATACTCAACGTATACTACTCAAACGTATTCTAAAATACTACAAACATATAACTCACAAAATCACGATCATTAAATTAAAAAATACTACTTAAAATATAAATAAGCACATACATTAAATTAATAAAAATTAGATTACAATCCTAATTACTTTAAACTAAATCATTGCTAAAAACAATTTTCAAATAATATCATTTTAATTTATTTACTCCTTACATTTAGAACAATGCATAAAAATAATATCCTCAAATGAATAAAAATACTAACTTACCTAAACTTCTTCAGAATCTTCATTACGTCGCTGCAGTACTACTGCTAATTTCTAAATCCAGTAGTCAACCCGAAGTCTATTCACCAAGTAATAAGAAATTAATAAAATTTCACCTATACTCAAACTACTTTCAGCAAACCACGTACCCTTCCTTACACTCCTTTTCACAAAATGTCCATTTTCACCATATTTCTTGCACCGCCATTTAAACTTGTAATATCCTTCCTTTCACACAATCTCAACTTATTATTATTATCAGATAAACACATTAAAAATTTAGAATTCACTTTACATAGCGCCATGCAATCCGAAAATTAATCAACACTATTTCACAACACACAATGAAGCTTTTCCAAATTAACCCCCTTTTCCGATTAAAGAACTGTAATTCATCCATTAATGTCACGTTTCACACAACTCAGAATATAGCTAAATACGAAATTTCCAGATTTCCCCCCTTTTCCGATTAAATAAACTGTAATTCGTTAATTCCATTAATGTCACATGACATATCTCATGATCTCTCATTTCCCTCACACAAAATAATGCATAATCGGAACTGAGTGCTTCTCACATTATTACCAAAGTCCTAGGTAGTAACCTTTATCGCCTCCAAAATGTCGCCAAACTACCAGTTACCATATTCCAAAGATCAGCCAGGAAAATTAAACACCTATATGAATCATAAGGGGGGGACCTAACTACAGAAATTTATATAAAAATGGAAGCATGTGTTACTTTGTATGTGACACAAGGAATAAAATATTCATATACTTACGATTTTCTACCCTTTGACACTTCAATAATCTAAAATCAATTATTTCCTGTAAAAGAAATGAAACCTTATAGTAGTAGAAATTTCCTCAAAAACAACAATTTAAAAATTTTATTTTGAAGATCATGTTTACTTCATTAACAAAACTGAAAATCATTTATTTAAATGCTAGAAATGTCTTGTCACAATTTCAACATATATGTTAAATACACATCTACTAATTTAAACAGTAACAATAACTGTTCTAATTTCAAATGCATTTAAATAAAAAATTAATAAATAAATTTTCGTAAGCTAGATTTCCCCACACACTTTTCAACAATACTTCTACATGTTGTCTTATATAATATCTCATAGTATTTAGTTCTCAATTCCAGTAATAAGCCATTTTAAGAAAACAGCTTCTTTATTTCTTTTGAAAAAAGGATCACATGCCAAAACTTGAGCAAGCATATTATGCTCTGTTAATGTATGCAGTACCCATACAGCATAGCACCTTATATAAATATAACCTTTTCCAGGTTATCATGTAATGTACTTTTTGAAATAGTTTGTCTGTCTGATATCTCCTGAAGTGAATTTTCAATGATAGTTTCTTTTAATAAGTCCAGAGTAGGCATCATTTGAAATTCGCATGCTTAAACTTCTCAAATCACCTTCAAACTGTGTCATCAGAAACAATACTTTGTCCATGTAACATAAATTTCATAAGATAGCATTATTTTCTTTCTTAAAATAAAAGAACATAATACGACAAAAATGAACTTTTTGTTTCTTCATTCTCAGCACCCCTTATCAGCAATAACAAAATAATCAGAAGACAGCCCACTTCAGTTTGAAAAACAGCAGAACTTTCTGGATGAGGAAATACATATCAACTGTGAATTATGATTTACTCTCTTACTGATGAAATGCATGCAAAATCTACACACATGTAATAGATGATAGTCGTATTACTATAGGTCATAATACGATTACCAACAAAATTACAGAATTTTTGGTATATTTTACATGTCTCCTTTCAGAATACAAAAATTTCATTTTTTCATGTTATACAAATTTCTGTTGTTTTTTTCCTGTGATTTTCAGATGCAAGAGAATATATTCGCACAATTAGAAATTTCAAGTTTTTAAATATAAATTATATTTATATCACATAAATAAATATATCTTATGTTCCAAATTTTAATCAGCTTAATTAATGTATCAGAATTTAGCCAACGTATTCATTTACTGAAGACAAAACTTATGCTTTCAAACAAATTTGAAAAGAATTACTTCAGTGTATACGATATCAGCCCCAAATTCCAGTGCTAATAATCGCATAGGTAGAGTACCTACACGAACCATAGGCGCTAAAATTATTTTGCTTGAATATGTCAACATTTTTTTTTACATGTATTCTTTGGATCACACAAACCTCGTTCACAAAATTACATTATTTACACTACAATTGTATTACATGCATCACAGCAGACACGCCGCGTTATTATACTACACTACGTGATTAATAAACAAACCGATAGTGATGCCAATTTTAATGATAATCATACATACGTATCTCCAAACTGCTGATTATTTGAAAGTAACAATGGAGAAAACTTAATTATTGCTGGATTGCTAAAATTTTAAAAGAAAAATTTTAATACTTTTATGGTGAATTCGTTATTTACATTTAAGTTACATCAAGAAATACGGATGCGAAAGCTTGAACCACATGAGAATTTCAACCCTTTGTTTTGATTGGAAGGTCTGTGAAAGATGTTTACGATTTGCTGTTTGACATAAGGATGTCTGACTTTTAGCAAGTTATGTTTTGAAAAATTAATTGTTAGAATTAAGCTATGCAAATGCGATAAATTTTTTATCTTACTGAAGCCGCGAATATTATAATTTTACTAGCATATGGTCTTATAAATGATGTAATATAACAGTTTGTGTTTCTAAATCCTCTCTTGTTTCCAGGTAAAACAACTAGACGCATGTAAATGTATTTGTTGCAAAATATTATAATCCTGAATACATTTGGGTTTTATAAATGCTGGATGTTGTGAATTTTGTACTTTTTTTTACCTGCTGTCATTGTCATATTCTTTACGAACGAATTATTCTTCGAAAACGAACAAACATTTTTTGTTCGTTTTCGAAGTAGCAAATCTTATTGAATATGACATTACTGAGAGTTTGCTATGATACTTTAAGTAAATTTGCATCTTCTATATTTGTTTCTTGTCTCATTTCTTTAACTGTTTTGTTCTTAAAGAAGTTTTACTCTATGTAATCATAAGAAATGAAATTGAACAAAAACATAATGTTATTTAATATAATAGTTCAGTAAGGAAACCGACATAAATCAGAAAAAAGAATTATATACATAGATAAGTAGCTACAAAAATTTGTGTAAGCGCTCATGTACTGGAATTTTGCTATCATCCTTTAACGAGACGTTCGTTGCAACGGGCGCCTGGACTGGAATGTTCTATCCCGATCGATGTTATGTCACTTTTCATGAACTATGAAAGATGTATGGGTTCAGTTAACTCGAGTACATCGCCATAATCAATTAAATCAAATCAAATCAAACCAAAGACAGGTTGTAAGCAATATTAATAGCAATTTTTGTAAGAGTTGTTTTGTGCAAAATAATGTATCAAAGAATTATGTTAGTTAATAGTTATATTAAACATAACTTTTAAAACCAGGCAAACCTTTGATAAAAATCTTGAATGGAAAGATAGAAATTAATTTCCTAAGTGAAAAATTTACATATAAGTAAAGTGAAATATTAAAACTTGAAATTTCTTTAAGGATAAATACTTTTAGTAAAAGTATAGTGTAGTGTACCCCTTGGCGAAACTCGGCAATTTTTGGCGGTACATGGATACCGATTTGTGCAATTCTTTGACTCGTTATTTTGGCTTGCGAAGCGCCGATTTTTGCGCCAAAAATCGTTGCTACACAAAGCCAAAATAACAAGACAAACAATTGCACAAACTCGGTATCCATGTACACATCGACTTATTTTCACTTTTAAAAAAATCCCCGAATTGCACAAAAATGGCATTGCGCACTCCTTTGATTTTTATCCATGTACACGTTGACCTATTTTCACTTAAAAAAAATCCCCGAATTGCCCAAAAATTGCATTGCGCACTCTTTTAACTTTATCCATGTACATGTCGACCTATTTTCACTTAAAAAAAATCCCAGAATAGCACAAACTTGCATTGCGCACTCCCTTTACTTTGTCCATGTACACATCGATATATTTTCACTTAAAAAAGTCAAAGGAGCACCAAATTCTACAATATAGGCAAACAAAAAAATACATAATCTCAATAAAATACATTTTAAACCAAACAATAAAATAACATAAAAAAGGAAAGCGTGTTATACATTTAAGCACTACCAAAAACAAATATTCACTTACCATGATTTTCGAGTGCGCTTCATACACTCAGAGCCACGTAGAAATCAAAATACCAATCATACTCAAATGACTTTTTTCAACCCAGGTACTCTTTCTGATCGAATGCTTCACATAATGACCATCTGAACCTTTCTTCCTACAAATCCATTTAAACGTTTTTTTTTACGTTTGACTAGACGCATATCCTTCCTACATACAGGACACTTCTAAATGGCTACTAAGTAAGCCTTCGTTTACACACCAGTCAATTAAAGCTCTTTTCCCCTTTCACTCCAAATCGTACAGAAACTTCAAATTAATCTTACTACATTCTGTGGTCTAAAGAATAAAACCAACACACACCACAAAAACGCTTAACATCCCATGATTCAAAATTTCCCAGAATAGTGCACCCGATTACGTCACAATAGGGTTTCCATAACATTCAACTACTCAGGCTACCACAACAACTTGGCAATAATACAAGGGGTACCTTAAAGTCTACTCTACCTATACTTTTTTTATTATTTTATTTTCTTATAAAAAATTGGTGGATTTGTCTTAGCACAATCATCTTGGCAGAGTTCAGAGATTTTCAATAGAAGTTGAAGATTGTTGACTGATAATTGCAAAAAAGTATCTATTACAAGCAAATGCAATTTAAATACTATTTAGATATTTATTATTAAAAATCAGTTAAGAAAACTAGTTACAAGCAGATGTTTGTTTCTTTTGACATGGTAGAAGTATCATGGTTATTGTTTTTAAGAATATATTTAAAAGCAGTTGTTCCCCTTTGCAATTTTATGGCAAAATTCTTTATTCCTTCAAAAGGTTTTATGACGTTTTATTCAATTGCAGGTAAATCTTACGATAACATACTTTAAATTTGATTTTAAAGCTAAATATATCATGATTTATTCATAAAAATCGTGCATTCATTCTTTTTTGTGGCTTTTCGGTAGGGGCATGAATATTCAGTAGAATATTTACATTTAATTACATTAGAAAAATATTATTGAATTGTGTATTCATCTAGTCACATTGAAATATTTAGGTAAAATCATAGTTACTCACAAAAATTTGTTAAATACACTCTGTCACAAAAAAATATATGCATCCAGAATGAAATGGACTATCATGAAACTTAACACGTATGTAGGGTATGAGGAGATAAACAAATGATTATAAATTCAGAACAAAAGATCATTTTATTAAGAAATTATGGCATGAAAAAGGTTACATATGAGGAAGTAGTATAGACACCTCTGCCAGCTATACAACACGAAACACGGCGTGACATCGAATCAAGTAGATCACCTAATTACCCCGTGCGGAAGATCATGCCATAATCATTGCAACTGGGCAGTTAATTCACCAATATTTCAGGATGGCTGCAGTTGTCTTACAAGCATGTCCCAGACGTGCTCTATTGGTGAGATGTTTGGTGACCTGGCAGAGATACTGTTGGAAGTGTCACACAGTATGTTGATGAGTATTGTCTTGTTGATAAACGTCACCTGGGCAACTTGATAGTATAAGCAGTACAACAGGTGCTAAAATATTGTTTACATTACTGCAAGGTATTGTAGTGCCTTGAAGGAGGATTAGAGGTGATTCTGTGTTAACAAATCATTCAGCACACTGTCATACTTTGTGCAATCCCTGTATGCCGCTCGACAACAAATGCCAGATCGGACTTGCTGGCCTGGCCGCCTCCACACACGTGTGTTTTGGTCATCAGCATTGAGACTGAATTGGGATTCAACTCTGAATATCACACACCTCTGGTCACACTTCAAGCTTGCCCAAGTTCAGCAAATAGCCAGTTAACACTAGCTATGGTGTATGTCAGTGGTAGGTGTCTTAATGGACATCAGCAGCATATACTAGCATTGACCAGTCGTCTTCGAATACATGGAAGCGATGTTGTTGGAGCGGAAGTGGGTGCTTTTGTAATTGCACGTTCCTTGTGCTCATTTGTATTTCTGGGATGTCGTGATGATCGACCATCCCTTCCACGATCCATTGTTGCCAATATCGAGCAACTACCATATCGCTCCGACCAAGGTGGCGCCTAATACGCCTGTTCGACCAATATGCTTCTCTGAGGCCTACTATATGCTCCTTTTCAAAGTCTGGCAACTGTAGGTACTGCTGTCAGTTGCATCTTGGAGGTATCTCTAGTCACAGTAGCGCCTATCCAAGTCGACAGATTCGTTTGAATAGCCGTATGGCACAATCAATCATGTATAAACTCTCCGAGCTGTGTGTCTCATAAGAGCATAGCATGCTCGGCAACAAAATCTAAATTATTTGCGTATCTTTTACCAGACTGCATTCCTGCCGAGTTTTGTGATTGTGCCTAGATTTCTTCTAGGTGCATTTATTTATTTTTTTATGGCAAGTGCGTTATCAAAATTAGGAGAAAAACATATTATACAAAATTGTAAATGTTTTTTCAGCAGTTCAGCAGATAAAATGTTTAAAATCTTTTTTTTTTAAATGTTAATATTCTTTTAATTCTTATAGTGTTCTATTTTGTGATGGGTAGCTCTTCTAGTAAATTTCGCCGCTATCTACAAAATGGTGATGAATATGCTGCTCTTCAAGTATTCCAGAATTCATTAGAATTACAACAAAGTTTGGATCCTAATTCATCTTATGGTGATCCTTTGAAGCATAATACACCTCTTCATTTGGCAGCAAAACATGCAATGAAACCTCTACTAAGGTATTATATTAATGTAGTATATTTCACTATTATATACATTGATATATGTGCATCTGAGCATATAGATTTCACTTTTTGTATACTATGAATTTTATCTGCAAAGACAAATTTTAATTTAATTTCAACATTCTTTTATCAAAGGGCACCCGGGTCCAGCTGGGCTATTAATTTCATTTTGGCATTTTGCATTGAAAACTTAAAATGTGGGTTCACTTTTCAAACTGTTGCCACCAGCTATTACAGCCCTATAATATATTTAAAGAAATTAGATAATGAAGAATCTGCGTAAATGTATGTACGTTTCTCGCATTGTTATAAAATGATGGTACCTAGAGCTATCAAATTTTGAATAACATATGTTTCCAACTGAATATGGGCATTTGGAAGCAAAAATTTGGAATTTGTTTTATTATCTATTTCATATATTTGATTTATTTCTATTTCATATTTCTATATTTAGAAAACTGTAACGAATTTTCATTAAAAAATTCAACAGTTTCGAAGTGGGCAATGGCAACACTGTACGGAAAAAAAAAAAAAAAAAAAGAAAAAAAAAAAAAAAAGACATTTTTATCTCCATTGTGCGAGACTGTGTATCGGAAATTCTAAGGATGTGCTCATTTTAAAATTATTTTGCGATATTACTGTTGAAAATTTTATGGTTTAAGTGTGAAGAACATGATATTTAATATAATAAAGGTAAAATGTTTAAAAAATGCCTCTTTGGGCGTAATGTAAAATCTGAAACCTTTTTTGGTTTAATTTTATGTTGAAATTTTCTGATAATGTGTTTTTATGTTTTGGAGCCATTTGTTCTGTATTGGGTGTACTGCTGTAGTGTATTAAGTTTTAACATATGTTTGTTATCTGAAAAAGAAGTGCTGTATGTACCCGGATATAAGTCATAAGTTTTAAGAAAAAATGACTTATATGCGGAATGCAAAAAAAAGATCTGTTGCAACAGTGGTGCTGCCGATCAATGATGTGTCTGCTAATTTTATTATTAAATATATCATTCATACAGAAAAAATACAAAATTCTGTATTATTTTTTTTTTTTTTTCATTTCATTTCATCATCTGGCATCAGACCAATTCAAGCTGTACAATATCTGTGAGGCGCTCTTTAGTTAATATAATCATATCAAATCAGTAACTGTAACCACACCGAATAAGTCATTGGTTACATCTTATTTATCTTGATCATATGCAAGCTTTTTTAACTTTTCCTGATTTTCGTAATGTCTGATTTATCAGAATGTACAAAAAAAAAAAAAAAAAAAGGGTTCTTTTCAGAGCCTTTCAATTCCTGCAGAATGAAATTTTATCAAGAACATCAACATGCTGTTTTATCGGTATCATATATACTGCTGATACAACAAGTTTATTTTTCAACAAGTGTATATATGGTAATTTAGTAAAGCAATCAGTTAGAAAGTAAACGAGAGTTCAAAAGTCCAGTTTCAGTTAAACTACCACATATTAATTTAATCTTCAAAAGGTTCTTTTTGGTATTACAATTTTTATGTATCTGTTGCTATATTACTTCTGCAAAAAAATTTCTTTACTGCATCTGAGTTATGTTTTGTATGGAGAATTTTTATCACAATTTTAATTTGGTTTGCTTCTGATTTTAAGAATATTTTAACTTTTCAGGATTTTCTTGACTGAACTAAAAGGCAATCCTAACAAGCAGAATGCAGTAGGTGAAACGCCATTACATTTAGTATGTCAGGGCGACTTAACCAGAAATATGGTAAATCAAGAAAGACGGGCCTTATGTCTGAATCTTATTTTACAGTGGAGAAGTTCTGATAATGAGGAAAAAGTTAATCTGACATCCTTAGATTCTGTAAGCTGGTTATCCATTTTGTTTAATATAGATGAATTAAAATTTAGTTGATTGTGTCAGTTATGTTTGCTGTGATAGGATGTTTTTTTAAAGAATATGCATACTCAGGGTTAGTAGCGGTCCTTATAAGTGCTTTAAGTCCTTATATTTGAAAATAAAATATAAAGGCCATTATAAGTGCTTTCTTTTTCTTTAATGCCCTATTTTTTTGTTTTTAGTGCTTATTTTTTGCTTTTAGTGCTTTTTTTTTAAATGAGTTTTCTTTTGCCATTTTTTTCCTTTTTATTGGTGTAATAAGTAAAAAATACTAAAATATTTTAAACGATTTTTTAAAGTTTGTTTAAAATTATAAATTGTA